GGAAGATGCAATTTTATATTTTGTAGATTTGTTCTAAAGAAGTATGTTTTTTTTTAGAAGTATGCTGTTTATATTTCTAAAAATATACATGTGCTTCTTCTGGCAGAAGTTGTTTATTTTTTTTTAAATCAAATCAATCACTAATGAAACACGATTAATGGAGCAATACAGGGAATCCCTTTCATAGAAATAACGCCGAGTCTTTGTTTGGTCCAACACATGCATCACTGTGTTTTTATTAGTGTAACCCCTCCATTTCCTCTCCCCATCCAGCCTGAATGATTCATTGAAATGCACATCTTGTTTGCAATTGACTACGTTCACAACCTGCTGAAAGCTTTTTGTTCTGCTGCTGTGATGTCGGCGGGGCCTTCAAATGGCTCTGCTTTAATTGAAAGTCGCAGCACTCACGGTGAGTGCTCAGAGCTTAAAAAAGGCAACCGCTGGCCACGTTGCACACAGGTTTATGAATAAAAACCACCTTTGCTTTTGAAAATGCACTTCTTTCCCTCCTCCACGTCAGTCCTCCTCCCCCCACAGTCGAACTGTGCAGCCACTCTGGGCTTGTCATTAACTGCTATTGTCAGCAGCACAATCAAGAGCAGGAGGGGGGAAAAAATACTCTGGCACTTATCATGAGCTCAGACACACAAAAACACACACAGAGACACAGAACAATACGCAACGCGCACACGGAGAATAGATGTTACTATTGATTTCTTGGCTGATGTGTGAGACGTTGCACAAATACAGAAGCCATGCAGACTCCAAAAGGTGCTTCTGTCCTTGAAGAGCTATAATCGTTTGGCTGCAGACTATTGTAATAGGTCAGTATCATCATATGTGAAATGTGATTAAAATTTCCAGCGACAAAGCTTAGTCTTAGAGTATGTTTGGATTAGTTGAGCTGTTTTCGTCTGTCAGTTCTATGATAGTATTAATATTTAAAACATTTGTTTTAAAAGAAGAGAGGGAAGGATCATGTTCTGACAGCACAGTTGCACAAATGGAGTTAGGGTTTGATATTATACTTTATTTTTTAAAATCAACATTTGTCTTTGTGAGGCTCGCCCAAAATATTGTGCTGCACTTTATCTTTTTTTTTGGTGTCTATTCCTATGTAGTGCACCCCTTTAACTTCTGCAGACTATTTCCAAATGTCAAAAAATAATGAAGAAAATCTCTCTAAACTAGTCTTTTGCTGTAAATTATTGTGCTTCCTACAGAAATGATGTCTGTCCTCAATGTTTAAATGGCTTTCCTTTGTTTCTTTCTTGTCTGTGGTACCAACAGTTTTCATTAGATGCACTTTGACCCAACCTCGCCCACTTCTAACCAGATTCTGTTGATGTCGCACAAACTCTGCAGTGGTCGCTTCCTGATTTGGCAAAGTATCCCCTCAGGAGGACATATTTTGGTGGTTAGTAGAGACTCTTTCATATCCTGAAACATTCTTCACTGGAGCTGAACCTCTCATGTTGAAATTATTGATTACCCATTGAAATGATGGGTCAGGTACAATACTCTCTGCCCATCTCTTAATGTGAGGCAATTTTGATGGAAAAGTGTTTAAAATCTTACAATGTCTCCAACAGCTTTTCACACATAGCATTCTGAAATTATAAAATAGTTCAGTAAGACTTGATTTATTTTATGTGTACATATAAAGTCTTTGGAAAATATTAGATCTTTCAATTTTCAGTTTTTCACCACACACTGCATCTTACAGCCCCAAAAAGTTTATTTTTGGTCTCCTTTGACCAAATTGTCATCTCCCACATGTTTTCTTTACTTTCTACACAGCTGGTAAAAAACTGCTAATGGCATTTTTTTTTTTTGCCAATGTCTTTCTTCTTGCCAGTCGTCCACATGGGACAAATTTGTGCTTATCTGTTAGTAACTTTTCTGCAACTTCATCCAGACAGGTCTGGTGTTGGAAACCAGATGAACTGGCCATAATTTTATGTAAGGTTGATTCACTCCAGATTGATATGTAGATGAACTAAATAAATGTAATATGATTTTTTATTAATTATACAGTAGTTTAATCTTATGTTGCGCTAATACCTGCTAAGACAAGGCATAAAACACATTTATGCCTTATTATATGACTCAGACAAATAGCAGATTTAGAAAAAAATTTAAACACACAGCAAATAACATTTTCATCCTTCTTCACTGACACATTAGAGGTAATTTTATCCTGCTGTTTTCTGTCTCTGTTGTGCAACAGCAAGCTAGTTCCAAAGAGCGGCTGCAGCAGAACGTCCCGTACAAACCTGTCAATAAACTGAGCCTCTCAGGTTCAAATCAACTCCGTCCCTCAGGCCTTCCCTGTGTGTGACCCGCCTGTCTACAATCCACTGCCGATCGCTTTCTGCTCTCCCTCATGTACAATTTCAGAAGAACAATGAGAAACACATGCATGACTGCAGAAGGCAATCTGGATACACACACACACACACACACACACACACGCACACACACACACACACACACACATGTGTGCATCTCGTGTATACACGAGATGCACACATAAACACGCATTCTCCTACATCCAAGGTCGCAACAATATTTTTCCCAGGTTACGTTCCCAGATAAAACATATTGTATGCCTGAGGGAAATCTGAGAAATGTAAAGAAAGAGGCTGATTTCGCCGATAACTGCAAACTGTGATATGCAAATCAGGTCGGCCACATTCCTGATGCTATTTTTCTCCAGGTCGTCTATCTTCGAGGTTTGACAGAAACACAAATCAGCTCCTGTCAGCGTCCGCCCGCCTCTCCAAACACAGCATTCGCTTCAGGTCTCCAGTGAACAGTTGAATAATTTTAGTTCCTATCACACTGAGTACTGCATTACATGCAGTGTTTACCACATTTTGCATTCATATAGTGTCATGGAGATGTGCAACTTTAATGTCTCCATAATCTTGTTGATTGTCAATGCCATTAATTATATCTGAAGCACAGATGCTGGCCCTCTAGAGAGCTGAATACGGCACACATCACGAAGAAGAGATTTTATTTTCAGAATTGACATTTTCTGAAAGAATCAACATGGATATTTTAACAGATTACAGGGGATTCAAATAAAAATAAAAATCTCATCCAAACCAATTATTTTTTTACCCACCACTATCTGCAAAACCAATTCAAACCTCCATGATTTTAATTTAAGAGAAGGAAAGCCCAAAGTTTCAACATTCCCGGGACGATCCGTCAACTGCGTCTTTCATAAAAAAATGAGAAGAAAACAAACTTTTGCCTAAGAGATTTTTAAAATGTAGAATTAGATTTATTAATGTGTAAAGTGGGGGGATATTGTCTTTAAATTACTTTGTTTACATTCTTTTAAGAACAGGAACGCCTTCCTCCTGCTGCCCATCCTGCAGCAGCAGATATTCCCTGTAATTCAATCTTAAATGTAGTTTATCGCATTTCCATCATCATCTGAAATGTTTCTCACCCACAGGTGGATGAAGATACCATCTCTATTGTGTGCTTCTGTTTAGTAGAGATAAACAGCAAACAATATTAAACAGCTCCATATCTGCTCCTTACCCTTTCTCTCCTCACACACAAGCCGCTATTGCCCTCAATGCTGCCTCACTTTTCATTTCATTCCACATTCTCTCCTCCTCTTTGTGTGTAGAGCTCACTCACTGTTTTTTTTTTTTTTTATCTCATTCATGGCAGTAAACTGCACCTCTCCTGAATTTTGTGGAAAATGCCAGAGTCATTGGTCTGAACAGGACAGGGACAGACAAACATTCAAGTCTGCAGCGAGGCTCAACACAGAAAAGGTCATCAGAGCTGACCTTTTCTCCATCCAGGACTTGTACAGCTCTAGGGTCATGAAAAGGGCAGCATCTCTGCAGACCCCACACATCCTGGACACAAACTGCTTAGACTTCTACCTCACAGTTAGCGTGCATAGTAACTTTAAACAAAACATTTCAAACTTAAAGCTTTTGGAGTTAACAGTTCTGGCTTTCTCTTCTTTCTGTCCATAAGCGAACATCTCTTAGTCAGGTTGAAAGGTTAACGGTAGTGCAGACTGATTCAAAATGAAAAGTGGAAAGAGAATGAAATACTGAAACAATGTAAGAGATTCTGCTTTTCACACTGTGTACTATGCAGAATGTTGTTTCAATCACAAGATTTGATTTGTATCATAAAAAGTTTTTACACTTTGCTATTTTCTGACCTAATTGTGCAAGTGATCTGAAGTTACTACCTGGACTCACTACTAAATGGTGGTCTACATCAGAATGTTTCTGTCAATAATAATACTTTTTTGATATTATTGCTAGTCCTCCACAAATCTTGCCCAACTCTTTATGAGTATTCCCAGAGGCTCTTCCTCTACTTGCCTCTCGTTTTCTGAATTCTCCGACATTCACCGAAGAAAAATAAAATTGAGAAACAGAGTTCTCTTGTTTTATTTGTAGCAACAGCTGCATCTTCATTGTATATTTCTAAATGACCAAAATGAATTTATGGCATCACCCTTCATTCTCTTTTACCCTCCTCTTCTCCGCTCTCCAGCAGCTGCTGCATTCATTAGGGTGAAAGGAGCAAGAAAAGTTCGAGTGCAGTTTTCTGGATTAGCTAAAGATAATTGCAGCTCTTTTTCAAGAGAAAACGACGGCATTGCACTGGCCTCTGCATAGTGCCCGCATTTCATGTGGTATTCATTTCTTCACATATAAACTTAACTTCAGAGATTACAATTTATTTGTAATTTGAACTGTTTCGCAAACTTTCCTTTTTAACAGCAATGCTCCTTTAATTTCTTTTTACAAACCTGCTAATCTTGACCTCATGTCAAAAAGAGACAGAGCTGATAAGTTTTTTAATTCATTTTCCCCCCATTTTCTTAAATGTATAACTCAACAGAAGGTACATCGCTTCATGAAACTTTGACAAAGCCTCAAATTTCATCCAATTAAAAGATTACAAAAACCATATAAAGCACAGACAAAGAAAAGATTTCTATGAAGAATACACTTTTTTAATGTGTGAACTTCCTTTTTATGTTAAAAACATGATCTCTCAATGAAAGCACAGATTCTAAAGTTCATCATCAGTACACAATGAAAATAAAAAAAAAATAGGTTTCAGATTTTCACCTCTAAGTAAACACAAGAGGAATAGATGTGATGTGGATCTCAACATTTAACAGAAAGTACTTGTGATATTGATTTGAGCAACATTAAACTCATACTTATCTGCTATTATTTTCTTCTTCAAGCTGGATTTAAAAGAAACAGAAAATTAAAGAAGTTAAATATAAAAAAATAATAATACTCTGCACAACCTTGCAGGTTGGTGACGCATCAACAGATTTCTTTTCATTTCTCTGATATTCGTACAAAACATTTTCCAGAAAAACAAGCATGTCATTTGGTCTACTAAGTTCATTGTTATGCTTTTAAATATGTTCAACGATGCTCTAGGTTCATAGCATTAAAATTTCTTTTATTTAAAGAGTCATAAAAAGCAACAATGAATGATCCTTCGTGATTAAATTTGCTCGTGTCTTTGCAGCAGATTTGCCTGGAGAAGTCAGAGCCTTCAGCTCCTCCGACTTCCTCCTCTCTGCCGCTTTTCATCCTGCAGCACAGTATGTTTAGATTGCAGCCCTGATGCTCCCGTCTGCAGTCAGAGGGGGAGGAAAAACAACAGATGATTCACTGATGTGAGATGATTACACAACTGTTGGCATTTTATTTCGCTTCTGACCGAGCGCGTGTCTCTGATGGCTGAATTCCTGCTCATGTGGGAATCACGAGCGCCCACCCACGGTTGATGCACCTGCATCCCTCAGTGGGGGAGCTAGAGGAAGAAGTGCAGGCTGCAGCACAGCGCAGAGACATGCAGGCATGTCACAGATTTTTTCCCCCCCATCCCCAGCAGTCACAGAACGCCAGTGCTGGAGATTCATTCTGTTCTGTACGAAAACAGAATTTAGGTACTTTTTAAAAAGCTGTTCTTGTCTGATTCTCAGTCCATTTTGTAGTGTAACCTCAGTCCCCCCAATTCATAAACCGTCACAGCTGGAGCACATTGATCTAATTAGACTAGCCTGTTGGTTCTACAAATCATTCCTTCCATTATCGCTCTCCAATTTATTCATTTGTCACCAGATTCTCTTGTTGTTACCATGATGTTCTCACACTTTCTGTCCCTCCTGCAGCTCTTTTGTTCTTCTGGCTAATTGATTCTCAATTTCTGCAAATTTTCAAACTTTCAAATTATTATTCCTACAGCTTCTCTTTGGGTCCTACATCAACTCAATTACACCAACATAGCAGCTTGAAAGTCGCTGGTAAGATGAGGATCTCGATCTGCTGATAAAAAAGCATCCATGATTTTCTTTATTGAGCCTCTAAATCCTACTTCAGCTATTGCAGATCTCTTCAAATTTATGACACTACAGGTTTGTTGTAATATGAAAGGAAATCACGGGGGCTTTTTTTTCAGTAGATTAGGATTCCCATCTCATCAGCTACTATCAAGCTGCTCTGTCAAGGTAAATGAGTTAATGTAGGACCCAAAGAGACGATGTGGGAAATATTATTTGAAAGTTTGAAAACTTAAAATTCACACACATCTTTTAACTCGGTAGAGAGTAAACTTTGCATTATTTTTCCATTATTATCCAAAATGAAATTTATGTAGAGCCTTAAAGCCAACTTGGGAAGATTTTGTGCTATGGGTAAATTATCAAAATATGGTCTTTATTTTATTTTAATAATAAAAAACAATTTTCTTTTCTTTTTTTTTTCTTCAATTTTGCACAAAATACATAAAACTTTTGAAATAAACATCAAAAAACAAAAACACTTTCTTGATTAGAAAAGGGACAACTGAGTCCTTGTACAAACAGTAAATCAGTGATGTAAGAACAATGAACAATATCTCCAGATCCCATGTCTCTCCTACTGTCGTTTCATGTATACATTTTATGGAGGTATTAAAGACCTGAGCAACCAGCTGCAGAGACATCTTCTGTAGACCAAAACTTGACTATTTAAGTTATGTTGTGTATGAAGGGAACTATGAAGTCAATCACTACCTGAGAAAATGGCCACATGATTCAGTAAAACCATTACACCAAGGAAGTGTACTTTGTCTATAAAAAATAAACTTGACTTCAGTTGTAATTTGAACTGATTGAACATGTTAACACAGCAACTGGTAGAAACATTTTCTATTCCTGGACGCCCAGTTGACTGGGCAGACTTTACAACAATCACTTCTCCTTCATCAGCGTGTAGCTAAGCTAGACCAAGTCCATTTTTGCAGCAATCCCCCTGAGCATGCATGTGGCAACAGTAGAAAGGAAAACTCCTGTTTAACAGAAAAAAAAAACCTCCAGGAGAACCTGACTCAGTGCGACTATTTACTGTCACCAGAAACACAGAATCACTGAACCAGGTGTACTTTCTGTATTGAAATACAGAAACCATTGAATTGTTATTTAAAAAAAAAAACATGCATCTGAATTATTTCATGCTTTAATTTGTAATAATAATAATAATAATAATAATAATAATAATAATAATAATTTTCAAAGGGTGTAATATAATTCCAGCTGCAGTTGATTTTTTTGTGAGTGGTTGAGAATCAAAATCATTCAAATTTAATGTCAACATGATAAAGACAAAGGATGTTTTTAACCAGAGAAACAGGAAATTCTTTGCGCATGTAAGACTAATTACTGTCCACTAAATACATCTTCATAAGTCCTGTATCAGACTCAGACTGAAAAACTAACCGCTGCAAACAGCTGAGGTGGATATTATGTCAGTATCTGTATCTCAGATTCGTTGCCGTCTTCCACTTTAGATCATCTCAGATCCGCTCTGTTCTGTTGCAGAGCTTTCAGATATTACTTCCGCCTCAGGAAGTGGCGTGTCTCTCTGCTCCGCCGTGTGAAGAGGTGTCTGGGGAAAGTGGACACGAGGTCGCAGGCGAGCGCCACATCGGGGCATCGAGCTCCAGCCGAGTGGGAATTTATGTTGATTTTCATGCTTGGCTAAGCCTGTATTGCCAGCTGCCATTTATGCTCAGACATTCATTCTGAATGAGCAACTATGTGTGTATTACTCTCTATATATTTGTGTGTGCGTGTGTGTGTGTGTGTCCTATTTTGGCCAGATGAATATAGGAGACATCTTGGAATAGATACAGGGTCATTTTGTAGCAGAATGTTTTCATCTGAACTGCCTTAAAGACAAAATCAAACTCAGATTTTCTGCATTTAGCAGCAGGCATACACACAAACAGATACACAGCAGTGTTTTCTTTTTTTCTTTTTTTCTTTTTTGCATTCACATGGCTTCAAAAGAAAAGTGGAGAGCTTTTTCCTTTCCTGCAAAACATAATTCAGCTTGGAGTCTAATTCATATTATTACTGAAATTGCCTCAAATTTGTTGCCATGGTAGTTTTTCTTTCGTCTCTCTTTTAAGCTTTGTGCCTCCTCAGTGGCCGATGATTAGAGCCGACAGCGGCTAGAAGGAGCCTGGGCGTGTATGTGTGTGTGTGTGTGTGTTTGTGTGTGTGAATGGGAGGACAGATAGGCTGTGAGGCAGTGACCTGGTAATAGTGAATGTATCCACAGGCCATATTCCAAGATAGTTGCCATGATCACAAAAATTGGGAGGCAGAGCAATGAGAGAGGAGTGTGAATGTTTTTTTTTCTTTTGTGTGTGTGTGTGTGTGCTCGCGTGTGTGTCTGATGTCGTCTCATGTCTCAGACACAGAGAGACACAGCGAGAGACAAAGAAAGAATCAGAGAAAGGGAATGATTGACTTTGAGAGGAGGAGGCTTGATGTAACACTGCAGACTAGCAACAGGGAATGGTATTACATTACCAGATGCTGAGCTCTGCTCACAAAGACTCAATTTAACTTGCAACTTTAAGTAATAGCAATAAAATTTTTGTCACTGCTTTGCCATCACCAGCACTATTTAGCTTGTGAGGAATGATAATCCAGAAAAAACCTAAATGACAACATACAGTCCTTACAAAGACTTAAAAATCAGTAACTGACCTCAGAGGAGCAGCATCCAGTTGCTGCCTTCCTGTTGGTTGTTCCAGAAGCTCTTCTTCTGCTTCTCAAATATCTACGGTTGTATAATTGCACATATGTTTGCATGTATTTTCACATGCGAGAATAAATGTTGACTTACCCTAACCTGTGCAAGGAAGCACAGTAAGTTTGACATCATCGTGTTAACTCAGATCTGTATTGGCAAAGGAGCAATGGGATACTCTTATGGAAAAAAACATATTTTAAGATTTCTTATGACGATCGTAAGGCTGAGACAGGTAAAAGCCTCTGTCGCAACAAAAACACACACAAAGCTTACATTTTTCCTCAAAGCTCTGAATCTGCAGTCAACACTGAAAGTTACACTGACTGATGGAGCAGAGCTGCCGTTTCTTCATTATTATCTTCAGATCCTGCCGCCTCTTTCACTGTGAGGCAAACACAGCGTTTGTTTTCCCACCGTCTCGAGGTGCATTTAAATCCATCACTGACAGACTGCTACAGCGAAGATGATTAATGACATCATAAAGGAGGACTTTATTGATGGGACATCCTCACGTTGTGGACCAGGCGGGATGTTAATTTTACTCTTACAAAGTGGCATCACACACATAGATCACTATGATAGAACTTCAGAGTGGAAATTAATCAAAACAATGTTTATGTCTACTTGAGGTTCTGAAATTGCAACAGAGGAAGTAAGACGTTTACCTCATGCAGCTTCAGAGCTGGTTAAGTGTTGAACATCACAGCAGCTGCTTCTGGACTGAGAGAGAGATCAGTTAGACTAACCTTTATTCAACATCTCACATTAACTGTAAAACATATAAAAGTTTATCAGCAGTCTCATATTTGAGGTTTTAACAGTCATTCAATCAAAGAAAAATCATTTTGTCTGACACAAACCATCCCTTCAGTTTATGACTGAATAAACTGTGAACGTTTTACCAACATTTTTCCCAACTCCCAGCCTCGTCACATTTCATTTAATGCTGTTTTAGTCTGTCAGTAAATCTGCAGCCCTCACAATGTGATAACATAGTTAATCAGTTGATCGTGTTCACCTGGACACTGCTGCTCTCCTTCAGCTCCGTAACTCGGTGGAGTTGCAGGATAATAGTTTTCACGTAACTTTCCCGTTGAAATATATGTTTTTAAGACATTTCAAGAGTTTATATATTTCTTGAACTCCCCAACTCCACTTGAATTTTCTTGCAAAAGCATTGAAAATATGCATCTAACCTAAAGGGTAAATATTACGCTTTAAGGTTAATATGTTTCTGGGAAATAGTAAGAACTTTCAAAAGTTTTTTTGTTTTGTTTTTTGGATTCTTTTTACTTGACGCTGTAAAACGACTGTTTGAAAAAGGACATGGACTAAAAATGATTTTGCGTTTTTTTACTCCACTTTCTAATTTTTGCTACGCCTCCTTATAGGAAGATGTGAGCCAGTCAGTGATGCAATTCCTGTGTTTTGTCAGTTTTTGCAGACAGCCACAAATTATTTTTATTTTGGTGCTTAATTAAACATAAATGTAGTATATGATTTATTTGATCAAAATTTTGTTTGCTTTACTTCAAATGCTGAATGCTTGTTTTCCTGTCTTCTGTCCCAGCCTGTCTGTAGCTGAATGAAGACCCCTGTCCCGTCTGTCTGCTACAACAAAACATCATCATCATCATCATCATCACCACCAGACCATGGGTTTCCCCCCCCGCCATGACTCACACACAGATCTAAGACAGACTGTATCCTCCGGCACGGCGCTGTCATCTCTGCTGCTGTCCACCCACATCTTGTCCCAACCTCCTGAAGCTGCGGTCAGGAAAAGCCCCCCCAGAGGAGGAGGGGGCGCTACTGTGTGTGTTTCTTTACACTCATGTTGTAAATAATGAGACAGCCGAGACAATGAAATGATGAGTGTGGAGAGGACGTGGCTCTTCATGAGATTTGATCATGATTTTTTGCTTAAGGAAGACCTGGAAATTTTAAAGACATAGTTGCAGCTTCGGATGTCGTTTAGTTTGGAGCTTTCTCAGTTCCGTTTCTGTTTTCTCTCTATTTTTCTTTTGTGCTTTTCCTTTTGTATTTATGCTAATTTTTGTCCTTTTCAATCTTCATTTCTTTCTTGGATTTTCCAAACTTTATATCCTTTTATTTCTTCTTGTTTTATTTCACAAGAACTACTTTTTAGTTCCCATCTTGATTTTCTTTCCTTTCCTTTTTGTGTCTCTTCTTTTCTCCTCTTCTCTTTTCTCTCCTTTTATTTTATTTTTTCTTTTCTTTCTTTTCTTTCCTGTTCTTTTCTTTTTTCTCTCCCCCATTGTTCCTTTTGACTATTCTTTCTACTTTTTCATGACTTTTTCTCTCTTGTCTTTCCCTTTCATTTTTGAATGAAGTAGCTCCAATAAAAATAAAGATAAACAGTAACAACAAAATAAAACTCATGTATCTCTGGAGGGTTTGGAGTGGGTGTGTTTGATGAGTAATCCAGTTGTAGGACTGTCAGAGTACTGATGCATTTGCTGTGTATATGTGTGTGTTGGGGGGGCATTGGTCCAGAGTCATGAGTCATGTTGAGCCCTCCTCTTCCTCCTCCTCTTCCTCCTTCGTCAGTGGCATTTTTGAAAAGAGGAAGGCTGCACCAACATGCCGCTTCAGGCTAAAAGCTGTCTATTGTCAATGTGTCGTAGTGATAAGGTGTGTGTGTGTGTGTGTGTGTGTGTGTGTCAGAATGATGCGCCGGCATGCATAAACACACATAACCCTTTCAATTCTTCTTTTGAAGTGTGAAGGCATCGCTTTGTGCCTACTTAGTCAGATTTGTTCGACGTGAGACAGACTGTCACTCTGAATGTTTCTCTGTGTGTGTGAGACTTGTGGGGGGGGATGGAGCATCTGTCTATGTGAGCATGAACCAGAGTGTGTGTTTCTGATTACTGGAAAATACTATAAAACCCAGGATGCAGTTGCAGATTTTGAGGAGCTTTCTGTTACTGTCAGTAATATGTATAAAAAAGAACAATTTCCTAAGTATGTAGGACTCATAACCCCAAACTTCTGATGAAATAATTAAATATCAAATTTGGAGCAAAAGTTCAAAAGATCACCTCCAGTCTCCAGTCATGTTGTTGAAAATGACAGTATGTCTCATTTCTAACAATATGGAGCCTGTGGAGTCAACAAAGGCATTTTCAGCCTTGTTTATGTTTATACTGTAGACTATCGCAGATGACAGATAACGCTGCTGGTTTCATGTTAAAAATGTAAATTTATTACCTTTTGGTCAGATTTAACTAAATGCAGAATTTATTTGACAGGATCACTCAGGATTATCTGCTCCGGAAACAATCTCCTTCCAGCATATTAGCACTGATGGATACCGAGAGATAAAAATAACCTTCTTTCCATGCAATCATTTTATCTTTAATTATGTGTTGTATTAAATGACACTTTTTATATGTAAATGTGATTATATTAATCTACATACACATTGCAGGTTTATTTAAAACGGTGCTGCTTTTAATTTGGCTCTTTTCTTGCAAAACATAAAGGCCAAAGTGGCTATTTGAATATCTTTGATGTTCCTTTTCAGCGTGTGTCTTCCTCGCGCAGATTCACAATCATCTCTCTGCCTGTCTGCAGGAGCGATAGCACTCTCTTCATTACGCGCTTCATTAATCTCAATGCTAATTGATTCTGCGAGGGCCTTTCAAACTGAGGGCCAAGTCATGTCTTTCCCCATTGATTTTGTGTGTGCGTGTGTGTGTGTGTGTGTGTGTGTGTGTGTGCACCTGCTGGTTCCTGGAGAGACACATCCTGACAGAAAAGCCTCTCCTGGCTGTCTGTCTGCCCTCAAGTGTGGCACTGATATGCTTTGAGGGCCGCAGGCCTGCCTTGGAGACAAGTAGAACAAGAAAAACACCAACAAACAGACCCAGAGGAGAATTTACGGGAAATAAAAGCACAAAACGTGGATGAGAGGCAGTTGGCATATTGTATGTTTGAACTGGCTGGATAAAACGAGGGATGCTGGAGCAGTTAAATGGTCCATGTTCTGTTGCTAGGAGACACCGGGGCTGGATGGTGGAGATAAACGCTGGGATCCACCCCTGGCAGGGAGGAGAACGTGGGTAGGAGTCGGGCGGAGGCAGGGGGTAAGAAAGAGAGAGGAGTGTAAGGGAGGGTGGGAGGCTCGACACAGAGGCGTCGTCAGCCATGGTGGACGGGTTTGTGGCCCCACTTATTCCCCATCCATGCCTTATCTCTCTTTTTCTGTCATTTGCTAAAGTCGGCCACTTTATTCACCCAGATGTGGGTTAAATCTTCATTCTTTTAAAATTCAGAATATAAATATAAAACAACATTTTGCAAGGTCTATAGTCATTTCTGCTAAATACATTTTTGTCCCCAGTCCGCATTTATGTTTTGTCAAAAACAAGCCACTGCTGCTCTGTCTGATTTTAATACGATAAAATTTCATATTCATAATAAGTGGAGGTTTTTGACAAATGCCCAGAGTGTCATTAGAAAGGGGCACACACACAATCAGAGGATAAATAAAATGTATCCCTCTCTTTTCGGATGTGTATTGAACAAGTTTTGAAATGCTTTCATGCATGTGGATTCACTGGACAGTTTGCACGTCCTTGTTACTTATAATATGGTGCCTGTTTGTTTCATGGCTGTTTCCATGACGTAAACATGAACAGATACTGATACCGCCTGTGAAGATGTAATTTCTTGAAATTTCCTGGTTGCACATTGCTCAACATAGCACTGAGGCGCTTCTTGCTAGTCTGATTGAAATCACCAGTCGCCTCCGAAAGCCCAGAAATATTAAACAACCAGGAAATCCTCTCCAGTGTGGGAGGGGGGAGCTGCTGTGCAGCCTAGCCTGGTAACCTGCTCACTCTAATGCCAACACATAACTCCTCACTGACTGCACGTGAAAAAAATGCAATAAAAACCTTTTTATTTAATACTTGCCCATGTGACCACCCAACCCACTAATGGCACCCTGTGCAACTGCCCGTGTTAAAACTTTGAGAGTAATACCAGAAAAAAAAACAAAAAAACATAGAAACGAAACATTCAAAACTGGAGAAGGAAACTATAAAGACTTTATTTTTAACTCTTTTCCTCAGAGACCGCACTCTGCCACCTCAGGAAGCAGCTTCTTCTCTAAACGTTATCCCCCCCATCAATCCGGTCAGCAACGACACAAAAAGACAGAGAAGAAGAGCTTCCTCCGTCACATGTGAGGTAGGTAAGTGGTGAAGCTATCTACGCACGTGGTGATTAGCTATGAATGGGATGCTGCTGTCTGATTGGTGGAGAGAGCCGGGGGTCAGGCGTTCTGCCAGCAGTTCATACAAGGCTGCTGATTGCTATTCATCCACTGATTACAGTAATTTAAATCTGCAGCAGGCCGAAGGGGGCTGCGTCTGGCAGGCTGGCTGCTGGAGCTGGATGCAATTTGGTTTGCTTTCAGTAAGGCAAAAAGAAAGAACGCAGCACACAAGGAGGGAGAACATGAACACATCTGTAAAATAAACGCCTGGAGATATTGTTTATTTTATATGTAAAACTTACAGGGCCACTAAAACTGCGGAAGAGTTCAGGCTTTGTAAGGATAAAGCAGAATGACGCAATCATTTTGGTTCTTTTGTCTTCCTGGCTCGTGCATGGACAGCCTGAGACCTTGAATAATCAAAGTTGATGAAGCAGTTAGTCACAAATGTTCTTTTTCCAGGAGCTCTCCTGAT